GAATGAAAAGCTCAACTTTAGTTTACCAACAAATGCCTGCGACTGTGTTCGTTGCAAGCTTTTACTACGAAAAGCTTCCTCCGAAACTCTACTCCTTCCCAGGACGAAACTGTTGGCGGAAAAATATATGTGTTGTATGTGCATGGCACGGCTGCTGGGGTTAGCGACACTTGAATTGGCAGTATATTTATGTACATACATACATAGGTATGTATGTATTAATGTGAGTTTGAATTTAATGATGACCACAATAAAGCATAAAGGAACTTGCATAATTTAATTCGGTCATAAATCTAATTATGACCAAAAATTGGCGCCTTATTTTTCTCTCAACTGTTTAGCGGTCAGCGGGAGGTCGCGTTGCCTGTTATTTGCTTGGCTTGTTTATTCGGCAGCCAACACGACTAAATACAAACAATAAGGTTACGAGAATGTTGTCAGTGGGATTAACGCTGTACCCGCTCTGCATCGCTTGGAGGAAATTAACAAATCTCGTACCACCCTCCAAACAACGGAAATAATAATTTTACTGGTTGGAATCTAGAAGCTTCTACCCTTTACGCGAAACATTCTTAACCCTTCTGCAGTGTTTGGAATTTACCCCTTCCTGTAATGTTTTTGGGCCATCTTGACCCAATGATAGAAATAAGTCAATTAAAAGAAAAAAAACGATATTCAATTTGTCTTCAGTTAATATTTTATATATGACATGCTTACCGGTTCAAAGTTGCCCTTAAATACTAAATAATAATTTGGGACAAAATAACCCAGAAACACTGTGGGTGTATGGAAAAACTATGTCGCCTTAAAAAAATAAAATTAAAGAAAATACTCTTTTATTTTTTGCAGAACAATAGCTGATTTTGCTTTTAACGAATTGACAAAGCCGCAGCTTATTTAAAATTACCTAACTCAGTAATTACGGAATTTTTGAATGAAAATTTTGTAATTTTGACCCAACCATTGCAGAAGGGTTTTGTTTTTATTGGAATTGGCGTCGGGGCTCGAAACATACACATTAGTCTGTGGCATCAGGCCACAGCACAAGGGAATATTCCAATCTGCTTCGTTATCTAAAGATTAAAAAACCAGATACTGTTTTAGGGAAAGTCTGAAAGAGTGGTTCTACTACTCAAGCCGGGAGTACCAACCAATATAGGGGTCTGATTGCTCGATAACTCTCCTTGTCCGAAGGATCAGCATGATGTCCATGAAGTGAACATCACCGCCATAAGCATCCTGATGATTCGTGGCCTTAGCCGCAAACTCACCTGTGAGTGAAGCGTTCAAGCCCTCAATGGTTTTCGACGCAGTGCGTCCATGCGACTAGAAAACTTAGAGGCCTCTTCTCTCCATCAGAGACTGAAACGGTGGATGGAAAATTATCTGAGTCTATTACCACAACACAGTAGATATTCCAGACAGATAGGGGAGGATATGTTCTGATGTCGCCAGAGCACTATTTTCATAGTGAAACGCTGATACTGTCAGTAAAAGAAGACAACATTATGCTTAGCAATAAGTTCGTGGTCGGCTCCGCATAGTTTTGAACCGGCCGGCCAATTGCCTTGTATGTTACCAGCAACGTTTCATATTCAGGGTTTAATCGGCAATGCTTCCGCCAATTAAATCCTGAATTAAATTCATTTCAAGAACAAATGCTTTTATAAACTTTTATAATAACAAAAAAAAAAACATAATGATTCTTTTGGCCTATACTAGCCCCGGCATCGGCATCGGTCGGAGACTAGTTATCGGGCGATAAGACTCTTTTTTGTTGGCTGGTTTCCCCGCTTTGAGCAGTAGGACAACTCTCCCCTTCTTTTAGATGTCTGAAATGGCAAGAGTGGCCATTGACAGGTTGAGGACCATGGCTAAATGGTCTACTTCCGCAGGAACCAGATTTTTCAGCTTCAACATGCATATTCCACTGTTGTTGTTGTTGTAGCGGCACTACTAAGCCCCGCCTATTTCGGTTCACCCTTCAATCATGGTCGTCCAGATCAACTAAAGCGAGGCCCAGCAAACGAGCTATTTCAGTAGGCGATACCATTCAATCAAGCATATTCCGTCGGATCCCATGGCTTTGGAGGCTTTCGCCTTCTCGATGGCTACCTGAACTTCACCGCAAGTGAAAGCAAGAGGCGCACTTGTTGTTGGCAGTTTGTGCATCCTTCTGGTCACTCTACGTTTGGCTTTATCCGCCGGAGGATGCAGCGTAAATTGTCGGCTAAAATACCACGCGAATCACTCCGGATCCGACGGAAAGAGACGTCTACCAACTACCGTTTGTAATATATGCTAACTTGACGTTTCTACTCAAGATAACTAATCCCATCAATGAACATTGGGTCGCATATTAAAGCCTACTAATAAAGGAAGAAGGGATGGGAAGGGGTTCGTATAGACGGTCAAAGTCACACAATCACATCCAGTACAACTTAAATAAGATGTGCAGAATGCCACAAAAAGTGCAGTAAATTTGATGTGATTTTTTTGGGCGGTCATTTTGGCAACAACTATGAAACAAGTGGAGGAAATTCTTGAAGCATATGGTTTCTGCAGTATTTTAGATTACTGATGTAAGTTAACTGAATACGAAAAAAAATTAAACAAAAAAAAAAATAAAAAATTGGGGATTATATGGGTTGAAAATAATCTATTTTTGAATTGTGAATGTCTTTTAGTGAATGCGCGATAAGAAGTTTGTGCATATGTAATTATCGCAAATCAGAACCAGTCACAACTTAACATTTTTCGAAATTCTTTATCGCCATCTTCTTTAACTGGAAATATACTATTAAGAATGTTTTCGTTTTGCTTACGTCGCTTGCACAGCATCAACAGTTTTTTGCCTCTCCCGAACACTTGGTGTTTTTTGAGTTGTGACTGTTTTTGATTTGAAGTGCGATATGTACTTTCAGTCTTTGCATAGCGAACATGATTATGCATTTTTCGTTATCGTAAAATAAGTTCAATATTAAAACGCAAAATACAATTATTTATGTAGACATATCGTGTTTAAAGTATACAACTGCGTATCGTCGGTCTGCAAAACCTCGTAACTGATTTTTGCGCCAAAAAAAGATATTTGCTCATCGGAAGCTCTTGGCATCAACCCCTTATCCATTTATACTTAAATATCGATACTTAGATATAAGAACAGATAATTAGGGATAAAAGAGTGAACCGTTTTCAAATAGGACTAGCTTAACTCTCTCCTACAAAATCTTGACAACCTCACGTACGTGGCTTTGCATTTTCTTGATACGCGGTTTTGTCCTTTAAACGACGGTATGTATACGTGTAATCCAATAACCTTTGTTGATATCCTAATTTAATTATCAAAGGAATATTTTTATAAACAAAAGGTTTTTTTAATCCGTATCTATAAAAATTATGTGGTATGAACATATGTATGTATATAAAAATTTAAAAAACTTTTTATTCAAACATTCTACATATAAACAATTTTGCCTTAATCGCATATCGTAGATATTTAAATAAATCCTTTATTTAAAGCCATGTAATAAGTAGAATGTACTACGTGAAAATATACATATGTATTCCTTAGCAGGCTACTTCCGTCTAAGCTTTTAAGAATCTGGCGTGATGATCAAAATGCTCTCCAATGAACGTGGCAATGAAAAAGTAGCTGTGGTCGTAACCCTCGCGTTGCTTATAAACTAATTGCAAGTGTCTATTTTCAGCACCGGCATTCAAAAGATTCTCTGGCAGCAATTGCTTCTCTTTATAAAAATTATCCTCTGAACCTTGATCTACTAGAATTTCTAATGGTGTACCAGCATATACTGTTGCTAATTCGGTGGCATCCCACGCCTTCCATGACTCCTCATTGGCACCTAAATAGCCAGAGAATGCTTTCTTACCCCACGGGCATTGAACGGGGTTCGAGATGGGCGCGAAAGCAGACACAGATTGATAAATACCAGGATTCTTTAACGCACATATCAATGCACCATGGCCGCCCATGCTGTGGCCAAAAATACCACGTTTATTGGGCAGCACCGGCAAGTTGGTGTTCACTAGTTCCACTAATTCTTGTGTCACGTATGTGTACATCTTGTAATTTTTAGACCACGGCGCCTCAGTTGCGTCGACATAGAAACCAGCACCACTGCCAAAATCCCAATGATCATCCTCACCAGGAACATTTAATCCACGGGGAGATGTGTCAGGATTGACAACTACAATGCCATGTTTCGATGCATGTTGCTGAAAGCCAGACTTTTGTATAAAGTTGTCTTGGGTGCAAGTAAGACCACTCAAGAAGTATAAGACCGGGCATTCGTCATGATCTTCAACGGCCGTGGGTGGCATGTAGACACCAAACTTCATTTCGCAGCCCAGCACTTCCGAGGCGTGAGAATAAACACGCTGCTCTCCACCGAAACATTTAACACTGGATAGCAATTTCAGAGACATTTTGGACACTGAAAAGTAAACAGAAATGTGGTTAAACGCAAAAATAAAAGTTCCGCAGAGGATTTGCACTGACCTTGTACCTTTAAAAATCTAACTAGATTCATAAATTATCTCAATCGCCGGCTAAATGAACTTTTCGCAAAATGAATCAGATGAAACTTTAACGTGTTGCCAGAAGACATCAAACCTTTTTAGAGATAAGCGATAAGAACGTAAATCCAAAGATCGTAAATATACAAGTTTGGACTTTAAGGGCTAACTATGATATGAATAAGCAAGCGCAAAGAACGCAAATGCCGCTTTTCTTCTGTTTGCTGGCATTTTCCGCATTCGAGGGGAAAATCAAAAATGTGCCGCGGACAGAGTCAAAAGGGAGACGAACTCCTCATCTCAACCTTTCAGATACGGTCAAAATCGTCGCGGCACATTTTCAAAGTAACGAGTTGTCGCTGTTTATACATTTACGTTCTTTACATTTACGTTCTTTGGTTTGATGAAACATTCAAATAAATTGGAATGCAACCCTGCTATGAACGCACTCGCCATAACCGATTCATCTGGCATCATTCATCCAACGTAACAGCTGATTGGCGTGGACAAATTGCGGTGTGTAAACAAATTGTTTTATTTATAATTTCTTAACTATTTTGAAATAAAATAACAATGTCTGAGGATGCCAGTACTTCGAGCTTTGGGTTCAAGAAGCGAAATATTCGAAAGCAAGTTGCGCTACGCAGGAAGCAAAGTAGCAGCTCGGAGTCAGGTTAGTGGCCAACACCATATTCTGACAACCGACGTTGTCAAACGTTTGCTATTTAATTTATAGGCAAAAGCAGTGAAGGTGAAACAACCTCGGCAGTTGTGCGTGGGGAAAACCGTCGCAAGCGCGCCAACCCAAATTTTCAAAGCACTAAGCAATTGAGCTCTAAACGCGAGCGGAAAAACGATGCGTCCTCTGCTAGCGACAGTGAAGAGGATGATAACAAAGTTAGCGTCTCGTACAAGTCCAAGAAGAGTGCTTTGCCAAGCGGACCGCAAGATCAAGGAGCTACATCTATAAATGAAGCTGAGACAGCCCAAGATCGCGACGCGCAAGCATTGCACGAAAAAATGTTAAAAATTAACGAAGAGCTTGAGGGCAAAGCTGATGACAAAGTGTATCGCGGTCTTAATAACTATGCACAATACTACAAAAAAGAGGGCACAGCTCAGGGTAATGCAAGTTCAGGCATGGTGAGAAAGGGTCCTATACGTGCGCCGGCACATTTGCGTGCCACTGTACGATGGGATTACCAACCTGATATTTGTAAAGATTATAAAGAGACAGGCTTTTGCGGTTTTGGCGACAGCTGTAAATTCTTACATGATCGCAGCGATTACAAAGCGGGTTGGCAACTCGAGCTGGATCATGCTGCTCAACAGCGCGGTGAGGCAGAATCGGATGAAGATGATACCAAATATGAAATTCATTCAGATGAGGAAACATTGCCCTTCAGGTGTTTCATTTGTCGCAATAGCTTCGAAAATCCGGTGGTGACCAAGTGAGTTTAGCAAGACTTATTTTCCCATATAGGTACATACGTATAAATAATAATAAATATGCTTTCAGGTGTAAACATTATTTTTGCGAAAAATGTGCTTTAGAAAACTACAAAAAGTCACAGCGATGTTATCTTTGTTCACAACAAACCAATGGCATTTTTAATCCAGCTAAAGAGTTAATAGCTCGCTTGAAAAATGCTCCAGAAGGTGGCCAAGTTTTCTCATCGGACAGTGATTAGCTTGTAAGTTATAATCAGTTATATAAATAATTATGTAGTAATTATTTGTAGATAGCTAAGCGGCCGCTGTGGTGTAGTGGTTAGTAGTGCGCGCTACCTTTCCGCGGGGCCTGGGTTCAAGCCCGATTTCCGACCAAAAATAAAAAACAAACATTTTTTTCTATTAGCGGTCGCCGCTCAGCAGGAAATACCAAACCTCAGAGTGTATTTAAAACTGTAAGTCCCTCCGCTTTGTGTGCCAACATCAAGACGCACGCCAAACGGCCAATGAGTATGTATGAAAACAAAAGACTACTAGCATATTCATACATGATTTTAATTGAATAAAATAATTGCAATTTTTGAGTATTTCTAAGAAAGTTAGTGTTGTTAATGTATGTAATAGTGTAAAACATTCCACATATGCAATTTTGGGATGGTATCAGAATATATTTGAGTTTAATCTATTTTATCTAGGTATATACAAATCTAAAAAAGCGATATCTGGATGAATGAACTTGTTAACTAAAAAAAAAAAATTAAAAGTCATAAAGGGATGTTATAAAAACATATGCACGTAAGTCTCAAATGGTTTTGGGAAATACCGCAGTGGTGTCAGTTGACAGTTTTTATGTTACACCTTTACATTGTAAAACGCACTTTAATATAATAATACTAGCAGACCCGGCGAACTTCGTCCCGCCCAAAATTAATTTTTTGATTTTAAACATTTTGGTCCAACCTTTTCACCAACAGTTCACGTTCATGATTTTCAGTGACGCATTTATCATCTAATATTACGGTTTGGTGGTTATCAGAAAGCATATTTCCATTGCCATCTTTAATAACCTAGCAAAAGTGTATATGCATACAAAGCTACGTAATAGCTTCAGTACGGCACGCCACGCCCCTTTAAAAAATAGCCGCAACTTTCTCTAAAACTATGGGATTGCTTTCATATACATATCTCCATACCATGTTCGAGTACTCTACCATGAAAACTTTCAGAGATATGCAGTGTGAAAAATTCGGTTTGTACGGGAGGTGTCACGCGCCCTGCACGTAGCGGTATGAAATATACTTTACCACTTTATACTTTATACTTTAGTAGGAGTTCGACCACTAACACCGTGACACGAGATTTTTATATATTATAATAGCATTTCAAATTGAAAATTTTAATTCAAATGAGCTTTTTCTAGCTTTCAAGGCAACTGAAATTCATTAATGTCCATGGGGAGTCTTATCGACTGATAACTTTCCTTTCTCCATTCTTGAGGCTTTGTTACTCTCGTACTTTACGAGAAGCCCGTGGATCTCAACCCAAACCCAACCAAATGAGCTTAATATCATAATAATCCGATGAGGTCAATAGGGATGTCAAGCAATCCCTCACCGTTTTTTAACGAACCACCAGAGAGTCAAGAGCCTTTATAGCTGCTTGGCCGTTGGAATAGTTATTCACCACCTTGAAAAGCGTTGCATTAGTCAGCAACCAATCCGAAGCCTGAATTTCAGGTTGGGGGAGAGTTCTTCCACCTACCTTCCCACTAAGCTTCGATCTCTCCATAAATAGTACATTTACAGGACCATGATTCCAGATACTTCCAGTTCTCCCTCTCTGGGATATGGGTGGTGAAAGATCCCTTCGGACCCAAAATCGGTGCGCCATGTATAGGGCATTACACCAGACGAGTAAACCATAAAATAAAATTGGCTTGGTTATAGTTTCATAAAGGCAATAAACTAATTTCGGTAAGAGACCCCAGCGCTTGCCAATAGCCGCTATACAACAATAAAAGGCAACTGTTGCCTTCTTGACTCTTCTACGTTGGGTTTCAAAGAAAGCCGGGTTTGCTAGAGATCACACCGAACCCTCAGTTAAAAGCTCAGTTTTCAAACAAGTTCAGGTAACCCTGCATAACTGCAAACATTATTTCAAGAAGCTTTCCCTTTGTTCACCGTAATACCTCGTCAGCCACTTCCCTCCAGAGTCACCAAAAGGTCATTGACTCAGTAACCCAAAGCGACGGCGAAAGAGCCTTGCTCCTGCGGGGTACCTCTACTCACACATAGCCAGATTGAAGCGCTGCCCCACCCCGGCGCAACAGTTCTGTTGCAAATCGTGCGGTAAATAAACCTTACAAGGTCGGCTGCTACCCCTTGCCTGTTTAGGGAGGTTACAATAGCCTCAGGCAAGACCTTATTCAAAGCTCCCTCGATATCAAGGAAGATACCAACCGTGTATTCCTTATGCGAAAAAGACTTCAATACTATCAACGACCGTGCGTAGGGTCGTTTTATCGGACCTCTCCTTGCAGTAGGCAAGTATAGACGCTCCCTGAGAATCCCATTTCTTAGGTGCAGATAAATAAACCTCTTTAGCGTCTTCAAAAGACACGAGGGAACACTGATCGCCCTGAAGTCCCCGGATGATACATGAGGGACCTTACCCGCTTTGGAAGTAAAGGTAACTCTCACCTCCCTGCAAGACTCCACACAATGACACCTAGCTAGTCAGCTCTTGAAGGTAGGAATTAATCAGCGGCACGACACCTCCGCAGACTTTCGCAGTTGAGCTGGTGTTAAACCGTCCGGACCCGGCGCCTTGAAGGGCTTGAAAGAAACGATTGTCCACAGAAGACTTCTTCAGTCACAATATCCGTTGTTTTTTGCATGATTTTCAGCCTCTAAAAGGATTCGCTATAGATCCGGGTTGCATGTTAAGTGAACATCGAGGAGCATTCGGAGGGAGTCCTCACTGCTCCGCCCCAGGGGAGCAGGATACCCAAGGAGAACTCGCCTAAACCTCGAACATTCCTGGCTACCCTCCACGCTTTCACATAAGAGTCTCCATGAAGTTCGCAACATATAGACGCCAAGCCCAATACAGTGCCCAGTTGGCCCCTGGCTTATTGAAAAGGCCTCGGCTAGAGGTTCTAAGGTCAGTGAGCTCATCTGACCACCAGAACGGGTTGCTCTTTCCTCTGTTATGATTAAGGGGCAAGAGATTTCAATGGCCTTCTTACACGGCAATGTGAACTCACCGATTGATTCGTCACTTAAGCTTTCATTCTTGATTCCACCGCTCGCGTGCGCCACCGGAAGAATGTTCTGCAGGCTGCTGCAGTATACATAAGTCCCAGTTGGTTCCCCATAGATTTCTCCAAAGAGAATTGGATCTACCGATGATCAAAAAAGGAGTATTCGCTGAGAACTCTCCAGTCATAGATACAAGACACTAACCCGAAGATGACAGAGTGTTATCTAACACCTCTTCCTCGATAGCCGTTACAAAAGTAAAGTCATTACTCCCATTACATAAACCTAGATCTTCATTTAGTATAATGTTTATGAGTGACTAACCTCTATTGTTAATGTGATGATCGTATGATGGGAGTTGGCGTCGGACACAATAACGACACAAGTCTTCCTTCGTCTAGCTTCTGCTACAACATTCCTCAGCAATAATGGAGGTGGCTCCACCTCGACCTCATGTGCCATGTAAGCGGAGATCAACCATAGTTTTCCCTAAAGGTCGCCGTCACAATATCTCCATCATTGAAAAGAGGCAAGATAAATGCTTTAAGTTCTTTCCTAATGAGCATACAGGATAGAAGCTTATCGGCATCCAGCTGCACCACTAGTTTATAACTTTTCGTGCCGATACCAGAGACTTTTTTGTAGCTACCCAGTCACGGCTCCTGGATCAGGACTACATCGACCTGAACTTCCTCAAGTGGATTAGAAGATTGAAAACGCGGCCCTAGAGTGCTGAAGATTGATCTGAAGATCGCGATCAGAAGAAAGAAACCTTTCTTCTATCGCCCTGTCAAACAGGGGACCAACACTGATATCCGATCTTGTAGTCGAGAGAGGGCTAGCTGTACTGTCATAGTCCGACGTGACGGATTCGACCTCCGTGCTCACGAGGGCATCTTCTGCCTCGGGCGCTTCACCAAATGGCCTAGCCGAAAATGGCGCGCCATGCCCTTTGGAATCAGTCTGACAGACTGTAATGGCTACCTTCTCGAACCCATAAGTGATGACGTCCTGTGTTTCGGCGGGGGCCCGAGGGACTTTGCATTGAGCAGCACCAGCGCTTCCAGATAGGATCCTTCTGACCCCTCGACCCGAATAACTTTTCAGTTGTGAGTACAATATTGGTGGCCATGCGACGGTCAGCGGGCGCTCTATTGAGCAGCACAGTGCGCCGTTTAGGCCTGTCGAAGGAATCCCCCATAGCCCTGACTGAAGGCCTTTTGCTGAATCAGCCACAGTGTCTAGCCCCCTCTTGTCCGGAGCCGCAGTCGATTCCGTTCGTGACCCATCGCCTATAATGGCTACTGCCGATTCCGCCCAAGCCAAGATTAATGATTCGACTAAGCCAACGAACCAACGGCAAGATGCCTTGCCAAGCGGAGGTAACACAGTGGGACAAAAACAAAAAAAAAATGGGCCAGTTATATTAAAACTGTGGTTTTGGTTTTTCTCTCTGACTTAAAAATTTCAAAGACATGATTAATTCAAGAGATTATTTAAAAAATTCAGTGCGAAGTAAAAGAAAAATATGGGTATCAAATAAAATCCTGTAGAATGAAAAAAAAAGATTACATTTTTGGGGTACAAGGACGAACAGGTTTTAAAAAGACCCTATATATTTTTTTCGGATGCCTCTTCATGGTATTTTTGAAGTTTAAATGAGTTTCTTTTAATTTGAAAATCTAAATTGGACACATTTGTAAATATATTTCACGAAAAACTATGTTTCTACAAATTTCGCATCAGCACTCGAATTATTTTATACACTTTTTCTTGTAGCTGTAATCATAAAGTATGGAATTTAACACACGTTGTCGGTATTAATGCATAGTGTAAATACAGTGACTCAAACAAATGACCCTGTGTTTATTTTCTTGAAATATTTATAATGTTTTTCGAGCTAATCTTTTTTTGTAATTTTTGTATAAAAATATCGTCTAAGCTTTAACCAAAACCGTGTAAATCACAGTTTCAAACTTTACACAAAATTTAGAAAAATTCAAATTGTTCTCATCAAAATTTCAACTTTTTATTCTGAATTTTTAGAAAATTTTAGGGTATGCAGTTTTATAGCCAATAAAATTTTAGAATTATTTTGCTGGTGACGGATTTTTGCACTTTTTTTCATATAAGTATGAATTTCTTATGAAATAAAACGCGGGAGACCGTCAACAACAAAATTTCAAAGTACCAACGAAAGTTTTTGTAAATTGCGCTTGTTATATTAAAAACGCCGGAAAAAAAGCCTCAAAAAAAAATGAACGCGATTTTTTAGCCGTTTGAAACTTGCACTTCATTAGACTAAAATTGTATGGGCTGTACAACTGCCCATTCAGAA